TTATTTATTTATTTATTTTTTTCAATTTAAAACAAAAACACAAAAACGAAATTGTACAATTGGCTTTGAAAACTCTTTCGCTTGGCTCTCAAACTGTCGGTGTGTGGGTGCGTACAGTCGCTTCAAAAGTCGTGCGTGCCGCAATTGGAAAAACCGTAATCCGAAAAGCTTTCAAAGCTCTTCAACAAATTTCAGTAGACCGAATTATGATGCTCGTAGTTGTTGTGTGCGGCCGCTGCGTGGTGTAAGTACGAGGGTATTGCCGTTGCATTTAGTTCCGATGCGCGCCGCCGCAGCGCTGCAATGCTGTGACCACGCCAAACATCCTCGTCGGTGGCGCCATCTGGCGACTGCATGGCCTGATGGCAGTGCGGCAGCAAATTTGAGCTATCCTGTTGCTGTTGCTGCTGCTGTTGTTGTTGCTGCTGCTGTTGCTGTTGTTGATGTTGTTGTTGCTGCTGCTGCTGCTGCTGTTGTTGCTGTGTTGGTGTACCCGACTGCTGTTGATGTGTGAGACTCTGTTGGTGTGCTTGCTGTTGCTGCTGCTGCTGTTGTTGCTGTGGTTGGTGTGACTGCTGCTGCTGCTGCTGCTGTTGGTGAAGTGGCTGTGGAATAGGAGTACAGAGTGTTAAGTTTAACAGGGCTGTTAGCTGGTGTCTGGTTTGTGTCTTCGCTACTTACCATTGCCTCGTTGTTGAGTTCATTTTGATTGGGCTGCGCTGCCAGCGGCGGCGGCGGCGTCACCGACGAACAGCTGTTCATGTTGGGCGGTGTTGTGGCGCTCGGGGAGCCGCCCGGCCCACAGCTCACCCCCCCGCCCACACCATGCTGATACATCATCGAGTCGCCTGAGCAGGTGGGAAAGAGACGAAACGAGTTCAATTAAAGCCTGAAAATTGTAACACTACGGAACAAAAAACCTGTCTCCAAAAACCTAATTAGCACACCTATACGAAAACAAACAAAACTCAAAATTCAAGCAGAAGCAGAGCTAAAAATCATGCCTGCAGGCCATATCTGATAAATTAAGCGCCTGCCTGTTAATTGCGCCAGCAAATAAGTCGAAAAGGAAAAAATGCGTCAAGAGCTCTATAAATTAAACGTATGTGGCTTTTATTTACTTAACAAATTTATTTAAACAAAATGAAGAAGACGAGCTAGAAGAAGCGAGTTCAAAGAAATGAAAATTCGTGTTTTGACAATTTGTGACAAAATACAAAAACAAGGAGAACAAAAAAATGTCAAATGGAAAGTTTTTTTTTTTTTTTTTTTGCTTTTTTTTTTGTATTTTTCATGTGATTTTAATTAGGGGTAGAGGGTTGCACCTACCCAAAGCATTCAAGCCATAGTGCTGATAGGTGCCGGCACCCAGAGCTGAGCCCATGTTTATGCCCGAATTGAGGCCGCTGTTCAGCGAAGTCGTTTGATTCAGCTGACCAAAGCCTTGGCATCACAATTTATGCACGCACATATAAATAGCAGTTGGTTAGTCATCGAGTTAGTTAGTTAGAGCGGCTCCACTATCCTTCAGCTAGTGCTCACTCACCTGCCGTCATGGGGTTGACGCCCACGCTCCAGCGATCCCCGCCGAACATCCCGGTGCCGCAGAGGCCATCGCTCATGGCAATGTTTGTGATGTTCGCCCCGAACGGCGGCAGGCCGTGCGACGGCAGCAGAGCGCCTGGCGTGCGGAACACATTCGTCGTCTTCTTGCGCTTCTTCCACTTGGCGCGACGGTTCTGGAACCAGACCTGAAATGGGAAGAGCATTTAGCTTAATGAAGTTTGCCTAGGGGTGGATGTTGGAGTAGAGACTTGAATAATGCCTCAAAATCTTGAGTGAGTTGATGAAAGGGGAATGGAATATAAGGAATTAGAGGGAAAGTGAGAGAGAAAGAGTATGATTGAGTGTTTTAGAGGACATTAGCTGAGCTAGTAGAGATCATGATTTTGTTAATCCAAGATGATTTCAGATAAACTCTTTACTGACTTTAAGCAGAAGGGCTGGTTAATGATATTTTTGTAATGAAATTTCTTTGATTTACTTAGATAAGCTTTAGTACAGAGTAGTTGAACTATGCCTGCAATAATTTAAAAAATTATAAACTCCTTTTCTTATTTCTAGATTTTTGGAAAGAAAAACGAAATTGAAATTGAAGAAATTAGAGTAAACCTCTCTATTGTCGCTTATCAAATAAACAGCATAATCACCTAAGAAGCCAATATGCCCTCTTTGCCAACACTCAACAGTGTATATAAGCTCTGCTCATTAAATAAAAAGGAAAACTTACTCAATTCCATTTTCAAGCTTTGACTCAATGCAGACGCAGCCAATTAAAGATGCGTCCAGGTGAGGTTAAAGCCTTAAGAACGCCGCGCACACATATGTAAACATGTGTGTGTGTGTACATGTGTTGTCTGCTTGTTAAGCGACTTCTCTTACATGGTCTTAATCGAGATCAATTACCGTCGTGACAGTCAAAACATGTCTCGACTCACACACACCTACTCGCACACACACACACCCATTCACAGATGTGCATAAATTGCGTATGTAAATTCTTTACCTCCATATAGAAGAAGCAAATTATTTGGCAGCTGCCAACGCGCAGCCCCAACGCATCTTTCTGGTCAGCCGAAATGCTTTTGTCTTCCAGTCAGCTCTTGACTTACCCCAATGGGGGAGGTGTGGGTAGGGGCCTGGGTAGGCGTCACACACGTAGACAGCGGTCGAGGCCCATGTCGGATGTGTGTTTTCGAAAATTGGCATTTCCATATGCATAAGAATTAGACAGAGGCGAACGGAGGGGCGGAGGGACGGAGAGGCGGAGAGACGGAGGCAGATAGAGAGACTAGCAAAGGCAGCGCTGTCTATAGACACATGTTGAGGTTTTGACATTTACAAGCAGCTGCGCACACACACACACACACACAGAGGAACACAATTACATACATATTGAAGCTGCTAGCTGGCTTGGAAAAAGTGTTGCCTACTTTTGAGCGCAGCGCGATTGCAGTTTTCCTTTTGTCACTTTTTTTCTCGCTTTTTGAGCGAAACAAAATTCTGTTTTTCCACTGAAGAGCTGAGTGAATGACTTGTGACATGAAAACGATTTTTCCGCTGTGTTGTAGGTATAAATATATATAAAAGACGGCGACATCATTCGCTGTTTTAGCCATCCACATCACGCGGCGGGTTGACAACTTAGCTTGACTTAACCAATGCCTTGCTTTGTATGTGTGTGTGTGTGTGTGTGTCTGTCCGCATTTATTGGTTGAAATCTTGAGCTGTCAGCGAGTCGCGCTGTCGCCTGACAGCCAGCCGAAACAGGCAACAAACTAATGGCCAAGAAGAAGCACAAGCAACAAAAGGCAACGCCAAAAAGGCAACACGGAAAAACTGTTAAGAACAGCAGGTTGCAGCTCGAATACCCTAAAGCATGTGAGCAGTCGGGAAGGGGTATACCCCTTTGATGAGAATCACTTGATATTATAATTGAGAGTACAACTTAAAACAGCTTGAATGAATTGCAGCAACTGCGAGCATCTCCTATAGCTGCTTCTATTCATATTTCTCTTTAAATATGCTTCTCTTAGAGCTTGAATAGGAAATAGCCTATGGGCATACTCTATATAAGTATAAGTATTTATTTTTTATATATAAATATAAACTTTGTTTTCCTTCTTTAAGCCAAACTTGAAACTGGGGAATTACTTATTTTTTTTTATTTTTTTTTTTTTTTTAAGCTAGGCAGAATTAGCCTTATCATATAAAACCGGATTTATCATGTACCTATAAAAACTTATTGATTTTATTATTTTTGATTGATTATATTATTTTTAACTGAGACTCGATATATCCACTTGTTTATGTTCCATGTACAGTAAAACATGCCTAAATTGTCTTGAAACTAAAACTGAATTCTTAGGCTGAATGTTTATACTAATACAATAAGCAAAGCATAACTCAATGCCATCTTTTACTTTCAAAGCGTAAGAAATAGGTGGAAAATGCTACGGAAAACCGCCTTAGCCGCTGCTAAAAAACGCAATGAATTCTTGGAAATAAGCTCTCGCATTTAATGTATCAAATTATCAACTCAGTGTTACATGCCCACTCTCTAAAGGCATATAGCCCACGCTGCTTAAGGCATATCAAAGGGCAGAGCCATAGCGCGAGCCAGAGCTACAGCCAGCTGCAACTGAAGCTGAAGAAAAATGGCAAACTTTTGTGCAAAGTAACTTTGCTTGTAGCGCTGATGGTCCCCAGCGTATTTGTCATATGTCGGCCAGCAGGCAGTCAGGCAGGCAGACAGACAGCACACAGAGAGAGAGAGAGAGAGAGAGAGAGATAGCGCGAGAGACTGACAGAGTGAGGTCGACACACAGCGGGAGCAATCAGACAACTATTTGGACAGCAGCGCCTGGGATCGACAGACGTTTCACTAAGTATGCTCGCAATGTTCCAACAGGGATTTCACTTCAGGGTTGGGCTGGCATTGGCTGCGACGTTGACTGTGACTGCGGCGTCGGCAGCGACGACCTTGACTTGTTTATGCTTTTTACGTGTTTATGCGTCGCTCTATTCATTAACTTTTAATTTAATAATTTAAGACAATGTCTGACAGTCTGGCTATCGCTCACTCGCTCGCACGCACGCACGCTCCCTTACGCCAGGCTCTCTCTTGAACGTGCTGTGGCTGTCTGTCTCGCTCTCGCTTATGCTTTGCTACAATTACATTTTGTTCGCTTCTTTTATTTTGCTTGCCAAATTCGCTTTGATTTCGTTCTTTTTTATGTTTTGCTCGCTTGCCGTATGCTTCTTCCTGTGTGCGTGTGCGTGAGCGTTTGTTTGTGCTTGTCTACGTGTGTGTGTGTGTTCTTTAAAGGCCTAGTCATTGCATAGCTATAGTCGCGCTGGCATACCTCTTAAATTGGCCTAACGTGCATGACGTGCCCCGGCACGCAAATAGGCGTTAAAATGTCGGTTAAACAAAACATTTATTTTTTATTATGCACAGCAACCCACATACACACACACACATAAACGTGTAGGGTGTGTATAGACTCTGCATATGCCAGCAGACTTTGTGCATGTTATCACTCTCTATGCCAATTCCAGCCTTCTCGCACGCCCCGTGTCTCTGTCACTCACGCTCACTCCCTATCTCGCTCTCGCTCCCACTCCCGCTCCTTCTCTTTGTTTGTTGACGCTCCTTTAGCCACGCTAAATTTGTATTTCAACGGTAATTTTTTAAGCTTCGCCCTTATGCATAAATTATCAGACGTGGAGTGTGTGTAAAAAAAAAATTTAAGAGGGGGACGGGGCAGATGAGCATTTGCGCTTTGACTACCAATAAATAAGAGATTTGATTTATATAGCTTACGAAATAAAAAGTGAAACGACAAAAGAGCTATAAAGGAACTAAGTGAATGGTCTATAATATTTGATTTGTGTATCAATAATAAAAGAAAATAGGAAATAGAGGTCAGCTCTTTAGATTGATTTGTGTTTTTAAATATATATATTTACATGGAAGTGAAGGTGAGCTTATAAAATGTATTTTTCTTAAGAGACTTAATGGATTTAACTAGAGATATAGTGAAATTCAAGGAAATAGAGCTCTGAGTTTAATTGACAAAGGTGAATTTACATAAATGCAAAACTCATTTCAAACTGAATTCCAAGAATTCAGATATTTTTGCAAATGGAATTATGCAGAAAAACTAAAGATTTTTCCTTTAAAATTTTATATATATGTATATACATATCAATCATATAGTATATATATATATATATCAAATAGTTTTTCTCAGTACCATTATAAAATTTCAGCTCGATTGGAAAATCCTATACCTTCCCTATAAAAATGCACATGCAAATTTGAAGTTTCTCTATAAATTTCACCAAATTTTCACTTGAATTTATATTTAAAATTCTCAAAAAAGAAAGGAATAGTGCACTCCATTAGCATTTCTTGGCATGTTGTATTCCAATTCGAAATGCAATTTCAGCTGGCAAAGGACTTCAAATTGTAGTCACCCCAGCTCCAGTTCCAGCTCCAGCCCCAGTCCAATCTTTGAGCTACCTATTCAACCACCTCCAACCAACCAACAAGCAAATGGAGCAGAACGTAATCAAAAGCCGAAGGCAACAGCAACAGCAACAGCAAGAGCAAAAAGAGATTTCCAAAAAAGATTTTTCTGGCCATATGCTGCAAAGCAAAAGCATTTTCATGTTTGGACTTTTAATTTTCACTTGCGCCTGACAAACGGGCCAAAAAAAAAAAAAAAAAAAGAACGAAAAACGAAAGAGAAACAAAGACACCACCAGACAGACAAAAGGTGTGAGCACAACAACAACAACAACAACAATGAGATGAAGAAGAAGCATTACGAAAAACTGTTGCAAATAATAAATGAGTCAAGTTCATGAAAAAGCAATTTCTTGCGGCAGGCCACAAATATTAGCACCAGCAACAACAACAACAACCAGCAACAACAACAACCACACCCACATTGTGTTGATCCGGGCACACCCGAAAACGCACCCTTAGGGGGTTTCCAGAAGTCAGAAATTAAGTAGCTGCCAAATGACATGCTGCATCGCATCAGGGGGACGCTGGCAGTGAAACGAACCCAAATGGGCTAAACAAGTGATTTGCTTTGATTTTATGACTAGCGCCCTAACTGGATGACTGAGCTGCTCTGGCCTGGCCCGGTCTGGCCCGGTCTGGCCGGCTCTGACCTGG